CGCTGAGTGGTACCACGCTAGAATTGTAGAATGATTCACAGACGTATACATATACATATATATACGTCCACAAATGTATAATAATATTCATGATATGGCACATTATATCATATGGTCAATTTGATGATTCATGATGATAAATTTTTGATGATAATTACATGATGGCACATTTAATCAATTTGCTTGTGAGGATGATTACATGATACTTATGTAATCAATATACCTGTTCTTGATGATGATTACATGACACCTATGTAATCGATGTGCTTGATGAAGATAACATGATGCATGATTCTAAGACGCAAGGACGAGCCTTGAACTATGAGATTCGCCCATTTGGTACGACGAACTCACGCAGAAATAGGGGTGGTACTCGAAAAACTAAGTACCATGTACGTACACTAAGCCCGGTCCTTGATGTCGGACTGCTAAGTCCCGCACAATCACAACTACAAGAGACGCACTTCCGCCTGATCTCTTGCGCATGCACATGATGTGATATGTTTACATATGGAAGATGAAATGAATCACATGATATGAACAATTTGTAAACAACATGATTGGATAAATATACTTTATTTTATTTGGATGAAATCTGATAAAAATATCATTAAAATAAGTTACGGGGCTCGGAACACCGTGACGGTCGACCGTGATTGACCGGCGGTTAACCGTTGTTGACTAACTGAGAAAGGCGGTCCTCGGCTCGGCGGGCGGCCGTCGACCGTCAGCCACCGGCGGTCGACCGTTTGGCTGACAGTCCTGGTTCGTCTCGAAGTTTAACGCGACGGTCGACCCTTTGCGTCGAGCGTTTAGGTCTGTGAAAGTTTCTCTTGATATTTTGAGTGTCCAAAAATACTTCTTTAAGTCTTTAAAACACCTTTGATTAATATATACATTTTTGGGTTGATCTCAAATGTTTATATATACTTATGTATATATATATATATATATATTAACTTTATGGATTTGGTATATTTTGGTCTTAACACAAAGATGACTAATATATGTGTCACATATATATTTTGGGATGATTTCAACATATGGATTAACATATATGTTCATGTACGTATGTGATGAATGATTCGACAAGTCTAACGCAAAGGTACAGACCTGGAAATCATCGGCCGAAACCTTACGGATGAGCGGGAGTGGAAACAACATCGAAATTCACCAACTTTGTCATTCCCGTCACAATTGGACAGCCTGCGGTATTTTGAGCATATCTCCATCGTTTCTTCACGGAATTGCAAACCGTTTGATTTTATGGATTCCTAAGACGTAAGGCTACAACTTTCGTGAAGAAACCATGTTAACATAATGTGTTTAAAGTGGTCAAATATAGCTCACAAGTGGACTCATAGTTGCTGCCAGGATTTTGGATGTTCTAACGAACAACGATTCCGACGATTATCTCATTAACTCCAATATTCTAACGCCGAACCTTCTCTACGATAAATTCAGGATGTTCCTAATAAGTGTTAGAGAGTTTATGGTATGTTCTTGGAATGAAACAATATGAATTTGGTGAAGAAAATGGTCCAACCCGAGGAGCTCGCCACCACTGGCGCAGTCCCGGTATTTTGGCCATATCTTCTTCGTTACTCAACGAAATCGCGAGCCGTTTGTTGGGATGGATTTGTATTGTCCGGGGCTACAACTTTGGTATAATAAACATTTTGATAAAATGAACGGAAAATTTCAGAATTGACTCACAAGTGGACTGATTGTTTTATGCTCAGGATTTTGGGAACCTTGATACTTCTTCTATTTCTCCTTCTTCTTTCTTAGCTCAACAATGGAGATGGAGTCTCCTTTCTTCTTCCTTGAGGGATGGCCGACAGAGAGAGAGAATGGATAGGGGAGAGATGAGAGGATGGTGGGACATGATGATAATGAAGA